CTTTCCCAATTTTTCGCTGGCAAGCTCCACCTGCAATTCTGGCCTCCTCCTTGGTCATCCTGGACGCAGAACAATCCTTTGAACGCTTGTTCTCGGTCTGTCCGGCACTTATGAAAACAAAAAACGTGCTCAGCTCAAATTCAACTTCCTAGTTCTACAAGGAAGTGGTTCAGCGGTTGCTGAAGGCTCCAAAAACTCTGATGCCCAGCTTCTCAACCCTAACGCCTAGTAGGTGAATTAGTCTCCTCACGCTATTTCTGGAATATTTTTATCACTCAATGAGATTTCATTAGATCATCCTGAAGTCTTAGATCTTCAAGGCGCGAGAAAAAACAACGGTAAAAGAATCCTCTCGGGTTTGCGTTCAAACATCTCGGCCGCGGTCCTTTAAGAAGATCTCACCTATCGAAGGCTCGGCCTCGCTTCTCCAAAACTCCCGTTTTACTTGAGTGCATGCAAAAAGGATCTTCAAAGAGGTATGGAAAGTTTTAGATCAAATACTGCTGGTACGCAGATGAATCCCTAACTGTGACTTTTTGAAGCTAGCCTTTTTCAGAACTCCTCATCATTGACACTGAGGGTGGGGCGCATAAGGCGCAGAAAAAAAACAAGTCTGCTTCTTTAGATCTGTGCAGCAGTTTAGCACGGTACCTTTTGAAAGTTGACATGTTGAAGTCTTGAGACTCGTTCCTGCCTTTTGCAAAGCTGGGGCAGTCCTCTTTTCATTCCTTCAATGCAATGACTGATGATTTGTTTCTGCCATCTTCTGCTGGAAAACGGTGGGGCCGCAAAAAACTGCGCTGTGCGTGGCACCATGACCACAATCTAGTATGGATTTGTCCACAATGTCAGGGGTATAAGCATCGTTGTTAGTGTTCGGGTATGAGATTTCGGAGAGAGAATCATCATATTATAATTTCTATATAGTATTTTGGGTGTGCCCCAATCCAATCATCGTGTTCCTCATTGAAAGGACCCTGTTGGCATTGGGTCCCTTTTTGGAGGATCCCGGTCGCTCACGGCACATAAAGGGGTCCAGCACCAGGAAAAAGGTGAAGGTCTGATCTGAAGCGGCGGTGGCCCCCTTTTTGGACTATCCAGGCTGGTCACAGCACAAAAGGGGTCCTGCACCAGGAAAAAGGTGAAGGTCTGAGCTGAAGCTGCGGTGGCCCCCTTTTTGGACTATCCAGGCCGGTCGCAGCACCAAAGGGGTCCTGCACCAGGAAAAAGGTGAAGGTCTGAGCTGAAGCGGCGGTGGCCCCCTTTTTGGAGGATCCAGGCCGCTCACAGCAGGAAAAGGGGCCCAGCAACAGGAAACAGGTAAAGGTCTGAGCTGATGTGGTGCTGTGCCCTTTTGAAGGATCCAGAACGCTCACGGCAGAACGAGGGATCCATTAGACAGGAATGAAGAGAAATTACACAGCCTCTAAAGGAGAAGGAGCAGGAGAGAACAAGAAGTACTTTTCTCAGCAAGAGAGAGACAAGGCAAGCAGCCACAAGATTGGCGCAAGAGCCTCACTGGCGGAAAAGCCTCCCATCACAGAAGCGGAGGTCAAGTCCAAGCCCTTGCATTGTAGTGGCGCAGGTCAGCGGGCGGATCAAGAACGGGAGTGTACCAGCACAACAACCGCCACAAAGAAGAGAGACATGACCATGAGCCAAGAGTGAAAAGAGATTACATTGGTACAGCCTCTAAAGGAGAAGGAGCAAGAGAGAACAAGAAGTACTTGAGCAAGAGAGAGAGACAAGGCAAGCAGCCACAAGATTGGCGCAAGAGCCTCACTGGCGGAAAAGCATCTGTGGACCAAGGCGGGCTTGAACCTTCAATCTACAGGTTAAGGGCCTTGCGCTCTGCCTACTGAGCTAGACATCCCTGGCATACAGGGAATGCTCTGCAAATTCTGGAACACAGAAGGTATATCCAGACAGAATCTGCCACACAGAAAGCAACGGCCACAAGCAGACAGCCCGGAACAGAGAGAGCTGACACAGGTACAGCCTCTGTGTCTAGTGAGGCCACTGAAAAAAGTTGAAATGGAAGCTAGTTTGAAGTGAGGTTGCGGCTCCCCTTTTGGGAGGATCGAGACCGCTCACGGCACAAAAAGGGGTCCAAACAGCACGAAGAAGGTGCACCTCTTAAGTCAGGTGCCGCTGGACCCCTTTTTGGAGGATCTAGAACGCTGACAACACCAAAAGGGGTCCAGCGGCTAGAAAATGAAAAGTTGGATCATGGGAATCGAAACTAACGACTCCCACATCCCTTTTTGCCAGATTTGGGCTGCGGGAGCCCCAAAAAGGGGTCCAGCAACCTGACAAATCACAATGATCCAAAGCGAGCCTGCTGGACCCCCTTTTTGCAAGATTTCGGCTGTGAAAGGTCCAAAAAGGGGTCCAGAAAGGCTTTTACAAAACTAAAAAAAGGAACAAAAGCCTATACCAAAATTCGTTTCCAAACCGGTGGAAAACTCCCATGGACGCCCTTAAGGGACACCAAGCAAATTCCAAAATAAGCTCGGATACCTTATTCTGAGGGCCCCTTTGTACCAACAACAACAGCAACAACAACAAGAACAAGAACAAGAACAACAACAACAACAACAACAACAAAAACAAGAACAAGAGCAAGAACAATATGCTCGTCTTTGTTGTTCGAATGCGCATGTTTTTCTGTTGCAGCATAATTTCCATTTTTTTTGATTCTGCTTTCTAGCGGTCCAGAGTCCAGAACCGACGTTATACGTTATTTGCGTCTATATTTGTACGCTTTCCGTTTGCGTGGTCAGCAGCAGCAGCAGCAGCCAGCAGGAGGAGCAGGAGGAACTTGCGGGAAGCAGCAGCAACTAGAGCAAAAATCAAGCAGCAGCAGCAGCAGCAGGAGCAGAAGGCAGGAAAAACTCAAATGCGTTCAACAAAAATGAAACAGGCTTTCCCTCACTCTTGCGAGGGGCGGGGCTCCTGTCACATGCCTCTACAAGCAAAGCATTGAAGAATAAGGGCGCTTGAAAAGGGTAATTAGGAGGGCAGGTCTCCCTGTTCACAATAAATTTGGCAAGAGAACTGCAATTCCAACCCCCTCGCTCCACTGCATGCATGTACTGAGATGCATGGGGCTCGGGTAGCCTGAGCCACCTTTTGCCGAACAACAGATTTTCCAATATTTATTGAAATTTGGCGCGGCTCTGCGGGAGTGAGCGAGGTACTCATTCCCAATTCGAAAACCTAGGGGGGACAGCAATAATGCTCTACCAAACATGAGAGCAGTCTATTGTTACTTGCGACCTATGTTGTAAAAACGTTGCGAGACATGTGTGCGCTCGCGCCGACATTCATGTTTGGGCCTCAGACATCCAACTCTTACAGCATGGCTGTGCGAAGCTTTGTGACAGACTGTACCTGCATCGTCGTATCGTAAACCTTGGTAGTGGGTGCGCTCAGGTGCCTGTCCTGCAAGATGTGCATCGATCTTTGCCTCGTTCACCATGCCATCCACTGAGGCCTGGGACTGGGAGCGGTACGGCATTGGTGCCTTGTTGGTCTCCGGCTTGCCCCGAAGAAAAGGCAAAGACAAATTTGGATCGAGTCGGTCGACTTGGATTTTCTGATCACGCAAACATCCATGTGAACTGATGTGCATTATTGTGCATTCATGTTTGCGATCGACTCTATCTTATTTGTGTTTCTGCCATGCTGTCAGTTTGCCAATTCGAGTATAGTATCGTCATGTATCGTCAAAGAAACACACTTGGAAACACCCGATAAGTGGACACCATGCTACGATATGCTACGCATGAGGCATATCATGGCTGATCACTGCTGTTTCGCACACCCGCCTTTCCCCACCATGCAGTGAGATCTCGAATCCTTCGTTGCAACCGGCAGCTGATGTTAACACAGGAACAAACGACAAAGTCACCAATCGGTGGTTCCAAAAGCTTCCAACAGAAAACAAACTGGCCAACAATCTCCGGTTTTGCCCTCATGAAACTTTTTCAGTGATAGCCTGAATCCCAAGTTTGCATCACTCCCATCTCGGCTTGTCTGCATGGTCCGTATTCACATCGTATTCAGGCAACTTGTTGAATGTAGACATGTGTTGCACTGTGTTGCACCTCCCCACCAAGCCTTTTTCAATTTGAGCATACTAAAGTTAGCTATAGATGCTATATGATGCTATAAGTGGCTACAGTAGCATTGGGGCATTGGGCAAGTCCTAGCTATGGGCATGGCATGGCATGGCCACCTTCTCAAGCCGTGCCGAGTTGTGCCAAGTTGTGCCGAGTGGCAGAGTGGCATCGAAGTCAAAGGCTGCGCACGGCAGTAGCGCCAAGGCGGCCAAGGCGCGGAAAAAGTGGCGCATCGCCATCTGGACTTCGGATGGGCCTGGTCTGACGTGAATTCCCTTGAACTTACAAGAAAAGTATCGAACACATGTTGGGTATGAAGGCACCGAGATGCGCCAAGCTCACCTGACGAGTAGGCATCATTTTGTCAAGGATGAGCTGTCCAAGAGCACATTGCCTGTTACCCTATGAGCCCGTCATGTCGGGTGAAAACAAGCACACCATCGTGGCTGTTGTAGCCAGCATTGAGACTTCAAGCCAACCCATTCATTCATTTGACCTTGACATGTCTGACATATGTTGCAGCTTGAGGGAGGCGAGCGCGTGAAAGTCATATTTGCATGAAAACCTTGAAAGACCTAGTGACAGCTTTGGACAAACGTCTGTCGAGGTACATCAGAATAGCCTGACACATCTCTGAAGCGCCTTCTGGGTATACTTGACTGAGGAATATGCAAGTTAAGGAAACTACTTCGAAGCAAAGATAGGCATAGTAACGACACTACAGTGTACTACAGCACTGGCAAACCGTCTTGAAATCTTGAAAACATATACATATGTATATATATATAACATATTATGTATAATATACAGTATATCCATGTATATCCATAGGTTCCATTCTTTCCATTGGTTTGATGCTTTGACGAAGTGCGCGTCCTGCGCTGGAACCTGCACATTCTCTCCATCCACAGTGCCATCTCGGCCATCTGCAAACTCTGGAGGGCGAACCTGGCGAGACAGTGGGCGTTGCCGGCGTCCCAGGATGTCTCAGGTCCAGTTTCGGCCTCTTCATCAGCTTCACTCAGTAAACTTTGTTCATTTAAATATTTATTTCATTTTGTCAAGAATCTGGTCATATCTATCCAATCCGTGAACGGTCTGCCTACAGGTGCCTCTCAGACTCAGAGCATTCCATGTACCGAGTCTCACTTGTCATATACTTGTCATTGCCGGACATCTCAAGGTGAGAAATGGTGAGAAATATGATCTACATGAGGTCCACATGTCATCACCTACCACTACAGATGGCTCATAATCTTGCTGGCGAAACCCAGGGCTTGTGCGGTTGCGCCGGCACTGGCCGCACTTTGCGATAACGCTCCTGGTGCAGCCCCAAAATTTCCACCCGGGTGCGCTTCTTGTGACGGGTCTGCACTTCCATAGGAGTCTGAAAACTTGGACACAGACTCGGTTGTTCCAAATCACGGGTGCAATGGTTGCCGTGTAAATCCGTTTTATGCCCTGAATAACTAAGATGAAAAAAACAGAAGATGAGGAGGAACCGGAAAAGTAAGGACATGTGACATGGTCCAAATGTGACATATGTGACACTGGAAGTACTGGAAGTACTGGAAGTGAAATCCACGGCAGCACTACACAGTATCTACACAGTACACCGATTTCTGATTTGATGAGTTGTGACCAAGGCCACCAGCTCTCCATGATGCTCATGCAACGTTGGGTGAAGTGCGGTGACCACGTCGTTCCTGCAATCCGAGTCGGGTCTTTAAGATGAGACCAAAAGAAAACAGAGAGAGAGAGAGAGAGCAATGAATCTCTGAGGATGATCATATATGATAAACTTTTTGTTTTTCTCATATTTCGGATTTCTTCACTTCGTCAATAGATGGATTTATGGTCAACTCTGTCCTCGTGTCCAACCGTACTTTGAGATAAAAACATGCACTCTTGTGCTGGGTTACCTTCAAATAAGTCCGTGTTGAGCGAGGATCTTCCAGCCTCGCCATAGCTGGCAAAGCATTCCTCTGCAGTGATTACGACATGGAAGTGCTCTTCGACGTTTGAATTTCAACGCCCGAGTGCTAAGTGCTGCGTGAGATCACTGTTTATTCACTGGAGTGGTCATGTCAGTCATATCATGCGGCACATTAGAAAAACACATACATTTTTCCTGGGCTGTTCACTGAGCAAAGTCTTATTTGCAGCTGCCCTTGTAGCGTGAGTCATTTACACGTCCTTCATGCTGACACGATCATCCGCTGCTTTAAGCCAACTTTAAGCATCTTATCTTGTCCGAGTGTGCCCTATAGCCCTAGTAAAAATGCGGAAGAACCAACATGGCTGCAATGAGCAAATTTCATTTTTGAATCTGCTTCTACAAGAAGGGAATGTCGCATTCCAAGCAACCTTGGACAGGTGACACGTATAATGGCCATTTCAGCTGTACACGATGCGGGTGTGTTTATGCATGGTCTTCCGCATCAGGGCTTTACGAGTCTTAGAGTAACGATGATTTCTTAGGTATATATATAATATATATTATAATATATTATATATAGGCATTGCTGCAGGAAACTGAAGAATTGGTGAAGTCCTGCTTTTTTACAATGCTTTACAGTTCTTATCACTTCACATCGCTTCACATCACTTCACATCGCTTCACATTTGACATTTCCATCTCAATTGCCACGCTTTTTGGTGCACATCTTGTTCTGTGCTCTGGCTTCGCCTTCCGCTTGTCTTTGGCAGAGGGCTGCTTCCAGACGTCATTTGCAGTAGCAAACCTAGCAACTCCAAGCAAGCCTTAGCAATGCAGAGCTGCATGCAGCAAAATTGAGAATTTCACAAACATTTTGGGAGTTTTGCTGCTTTCTGGATTCAGATGACCTCAGGAAGCATAGCCGCGCAGTGAAGTTCCGGTTGACCTTGAGAAATGCAACATGAAGTGCTTCCCGGTGACGAAGATGAAAGAAGTGGATGGCTCACAAAATCTGTAGCTACTGTAGCATTCAGTTAATCCTGGAGTCCTCACCGTGCCAATCGCAAAGCAGAATTGGGAACCTAAGTCATGGTCAAATTGGTCAAATTCCAAAAACACCGGAAATTCCGGCGGGGCAGAGATCAAAATGAGCCAAGGACCCAGTCACAGTGGGAAACGGTGGGGTCCTTGGTGCACATCGAAATCATTCCCTGAAGCTTGGACAAGAAACAAACGTCCAAAACAAAACGTCTGAAAGTTTAGTATGCCAGATTATGATAGATATTGATAGATACTGTTAGATTATGCCAGCCTGTCATAGTCTGCAAATTTTTGTTAGGACACAATTTGTGGCTTTGCCATGCTTTGCCCGCTTCAGGAGTTCAGCAGCCATATGGTGATCAGAGAAAACGTCAGAATGGAACCCCTGGTGCTGATGGTGGGACCATGGTGACCGAGATCCACAGAGCATGCGATGCTTGCAATGCTTGTATCCTACAACATGTGCAACGAGAGTGTAAGTCCCTTGCATCCACTTTGGATGGCAAACGTGCTGCCACAGGGGTGTCGCGGGCAGCTCTATGCAACTGACACAACGGTCGTGTTTGAAGCTTCAGTCTGAGTGTGAAGAATGTTTCGAAAAGGTACTCGAAACACCCCAAAACCCTCGCAGCTCTCCTTCTGACTGGTTATTTTGAGATGCTGATTCAAGAGCACTGCATCTCGGCTAGAATGAAGTCATTCCCTAGAAAGTCTGCATGAACACAAAGAATGTGTAGTTTTTGAATGTTGAGTACGCAAGCCTTTCCGTGTGGCTCACATGCTGATACAATCTCCACAAAACGTCGAATGTGACGGGTCAGATCTCAGGTCTATTGCACCTAACATCACCATACATCACCTAACTGTTTGCACTGGGTTTGCCTCCGAATCAATGACCCAGGACAGGCCATCTGCAGCACGGAAGATGTGCCACACCTCGTCCAGCCGAGCCAACGATCTTAGTCTGGGTCCGACCGTCAATCCAGATGAGCAAAGCGACCCGTGAACTTCACAGTGAACGGAACGGCATGGAACGGCACTATCCTCCTTGCCTCTTGTGTGGTGCTCTCAGTTGGCGATCGTTCGACCTTGGACAACCCGGAAACATGATAAAACCAATGACATTCGTTTCCTCACAAACCTGGAATGCTCAATGCTCAAGTCAAACTCTTTGTCAACTCTTTGTCAACTCTATCAATCTCTTTCAATCTACACTTTCAAAATCTTTCAGATCATGCTTCGTCCATGACCCCAACCTGCACCCAACAGGCTGCACCGTTGTGAGTTTCCTCACGGAGAGCATAGACCTCGTCAACATGGGTCAACGAGTCAACTCGTGTGATGCGCTGAGGCACGGTGACAAAATGTGACAAATAGCTGTTTACATCGAATCTTAGCATTCATCAAACATCATCAAACCTTCTTACAAGCCTCACACATCATACACATCCTCACACTTGTGATGTATAGTATAGTTGCAGCTTTGCAAGACCTTTCGTCATTGCAAACGTTTTGAAACAATTCCTGCAACTCGAGTACAACCAAATTACAACCGGAGTTCTTCTTCCCAGCTCCGTTGAGATTTTGACTCCATTGATGCCAAGATGATCTCCATCTTTTCGCTTCAGCAGCCCAGACTTAGCTGAATTTAGCTAATCTATTGTGAAAAGAAATGAAAAGAACAAGGAGAACAAACACTGAAATGGAAGGTGAGATAAGGTGAGATAAGGTGAGGAAACCCTTTGGCCCGGCCATCCTTTCCAACCTTTCCTCAACATTAGCTGTTGCAAGGTGTCTCAACAAATGCGATCTTTAAGAAGCTGAACGGTACAAGTTGACAGGTTTCAGTTTCAAACAAGACATAAGTGGTTGCACCCCACAAAGAATGCTTTGCAAACTATTCGACGCAGTACACCCAAGTTCCGCATGTCCAAAGATCTGAAATATCAAGGCACGCGAGGTGAAATGGCTGGATACGCCGCAAAGGCGGAACTGCCAGACACCTCGTTCTGAGCGGCAGATCACAACATGTAATGAACTATGAATATCTATGAATGACATATCAAGGACTCAAGGACAGTGCAAATGACGGGAGGGTGTGACATCCGTTGCAAAGCGCCAGAACCCCCAATACATTTTCCCAATCGAACGAGTTCAGGGTGGCCTTGGAGTCATTCACATCAGCACTTTTATCTCCGCTGCGCCCATTGATGTGGGAACGCCAACGCAAGGTGAAACGAAACTATAGTCTCTGTCTCAATGATTCTGAATGATTTTCAACGGCTCAATTTGGTTCAAACTCTTCTTTTTTACCATAAAGATCATAAAGACCGCAATATACCGCAATGGAAACAACTGCAATGGAAACAACTTGGAGACTGCAGGAGCCTCTCACTTGTGATCTCTGTCTTTGCGATGAGCTTCTGCCAACATGGGCCCAGTATTGCCTCAGCGGCTGAGCGGCATGGAGGACTGCCGAGGACTGCCGAGGTCACGGTCGATGGTCGATTCGGTCGATGCTCTGAGCTCAGCACCACGAAGAGTTCGGCTGGTCTCTGCGGAATAACCTGGATCTCGTGTGGACGTGTGGATCTCATGTCTCATGGCGTCTGAAGCTTGCACTCATGGCGTCTTCTTTTCTGCGACACAAAGTAAAGAGATGTAAAAAAAATAAAGAAATTTTTATTCAGTCTGCTTTCAGATCATTCGTTGAACACCAGGATAGGATCTTATAACCCACAGCCAAAGCCTCCAATTCATTGGCGTCGCACCGATGATGAAAGCATTCCGAATGAAGTGCGTCATGTAAAGACAATGTAAAGAGATTCCGATGATTATTATATTCTATATATAGCATTTTTACTAAAATTTATTATTATTATAGCATTTTTAATATTTTTAAATTCTGCTTTCAGAGTCTGCTTTGATGTTTCATTCTGAAATCTCCACTCAGCTGATTCAGAGCCAAGGAGCAAAGCGCAAATCTCGGTGCCTTCCAGAACTCTTCGTTCTCGGCCTTCGTGCTGTTCCACTCCTGACATCGCCAGAAAACAGGTGCAAAACATGGTGCAACGTGATCCCAACATGATGCAGGTGCCAGGCGACAGGCGACACAACGAATGCATACCGAATGCATACCGAACTCATTCGGTGCCGCGGTGCCTGCATTTCTCTCTGGATTCGCAGTCTGGCCTGGAGGTCGACGAAAAAGGCCGAACAGGAAAGGTCAAGGATAGGCCGATAGGCCAAGGATAGGCCAAGGTTGCCAAAGTGTGATTGGCTTACCAGGCTTACCATTTCACGGACGTGACCTGCACGGATCCTCGCTGTGGCTTCTCTTTGGCCTTCTCTTTTCCCATCATGGCCTTTGTCTGGGCGCACAATGTAACTTTCACACATCC